TGCTTCTGGTCCCGCAGAGCCCAGAGCTTCTCTCTCCTCACGCTCTTGTTCCCTCTTCTCTCACAATGCATATTCCTCATAGTACTATGACTTGGGCTCTTCCCTGCTCGGCTTGGGCGACGAACGAAACGCCTCGTTGATACGTGCACCAGTCGGATTGGAGATGACGGCGCCGAATATGCACGTGGATCCCGGCGAGGGCGGCTGTCGTACGCCATGCAGCGCGGGAAGCCGGCCGGCCATTGCCCAGGCACTTCGGAGGCGCCACCATGTTTCTCGTCGCGTCGTGCCTTGTCGGCGTGCGGGTCGGGTATCCTCGAGGCCTTGGCAGGTAGGAAGATGGTCTCGAGGGAGGGGGTCCGGTAACATGCATGCTTTTTGAAGTTTGCTCTTCTCTTGTTGTTGGCCCCCCCTCCCTCTTGGCCGCCCTGCTTTCGGGTTCCGATCATTGACACGGGCTGGAACTATTGGTCTGGCGCAGTAATGTTGGCCTTCTTAGTTATTCAGTGTTGCTTTTCCCTGCCATTTCCCTGCATGGGACGCCCCGTACATACTCGTATGTATTACATACGCTGCCCGGTCTGATGGTCAGGACCGGTCGACTCGAGACAGTCATGTCAACGTGAACGTGCCTGTACCTAGTAGTATGTTGGGGCGCGAGATGAGACATGTCTGATCGGTATCATCATTGGCCTGGGTGGAAAACGTTTCGCTGTGGTGGCGTGAGAGGGGCGTTCTCAACCTTGCATCTGGATAGGGTTCCATTGCATGATGGTCGGGAGAGCGCCTGGCGGATTTTGGGGGAGGAGGTTCCCTTCCCGTGATGTCACAGAGCGTGGATGATCAGAACCTCGTCAGTCGTCCTTGCGTGTGAGCGGATTGGAGCTTTCGCCTGCACAGAGCGCTTGTCGGTGAACGCATGGGATATGATTCGATGAGCCCGCAGATACTGTCCCTACGTGTCTGGATAGGGAGGGGTTTCCTGCAGCATGTCCCTGCACGCATCACCAATAGCATTCAAGTACACGTACATGAATGTACGAAGCCACCCAGTCGAGGACAACCCGAGATGGACGAGTGCTTGTATGTACGGCCTCTCCGCATATGTGGGATCAATCTTGGCAGATACTCTGTACTCGTACCATCAGTACATGTACATGCTGGTGAGCAATTGCGTGTACAATGGTTTCACTGACCTCACTCCTTGCTTTGCTAGCGTTGGGATCCGGAGAATATCTCGGCTGCTTGGACGTCTCTACCTGGTCGGTGCTTTCTTCTCCCTGTGCTTCGTGCTTCGTAACGTGGATTGGCATTATAAGGCGGGCACATATTCCTCTATGCACCACGATGGCTGCGCTGCGACGAGGAGCTTTCTGTCCGCGTCTCATCAAATTTGATCGTTCTTTTTGCTTCTTTTCCCATGTGGCGTCAGGTCATACTGCACGGCTACATGAGACGTGTCCTGCCCGAAGCCACAGAGGGACTATTGAAACCGCCAGGATTCTGTTTGCTTGATTGTTTGTCTGCACATTCTGCTGATAGAACAATATAGTTCTGTACATGGTGCATTAGTTTCTCGAGCTGTGAGTCTCAGCAACGGGGAGGAAGATTGACAATTTGATGCTCTCACCCCCTCCCACCTCCTGCAGCTGAACACATGCATGTTTCAATCTTGTGGCGGTCCCCGAAAGGGTATGTAGTACACATGCGACATACAGCACGGGGCGGCAGGATATGAAAACAAGCATTATTTGACGTACGGGGAAGACATGGGACAGAAGTTATTTTTAGACGAAAGCAGGTTGTGGCGAGACGGCGAGAGGCTGGCTGGCTGCTGCTGCTGCTGTTATTGAGACTCTATGCACATGATTGTTGGGGAATCAGAAGGCGAGGGCGAGGCTGGTGCTGGTGTGAGGTTATTCAACGGGCCTGGTGGTGTTGGCCTGCCACTTCATGCTGGCTGAGGCTTTGAAGGGGGGTTTGGGAGGCCATTCTGGGCGATTGAAAGCACTTCGACAAAGTGATGGACGACATGTTGAAGAGAGGGAAGAAGAGGCGTAGCAAGCGTCACGAGGGAGGAAGGTTGTGATAGCAGCCCAAGCCCATCAACGTTGGCCGAGATTGTATGTTGATGCGGTCGAACAGATTGATGACTAAGCACTCAGTCTTAAGAGCAAGGCGGGGCATGTATGGCTCATCAGGCTGGCCAATCACAGGGCGCGATAGAGCTGCCGATTTCCCAAATTTTGTGCCTCGTCTCCCAAGGTCTAAGCGAATGACGGCGATGGGATTGATGGCTTGTGAAGTCCATCTCTTCCTTTCTTGATAAAAACCCATTCTTTATCGCTTCTTCGTCACCACAATGTCAATGGCAGCAGCGCCCAGTGCGCTTCGCGCCTCGTCAGGCTGCGCCTCACGGCTAGGCTCGTCCCTCCGAAACGGCTCAAGACCAAGCTTTTTCTTCCTGCCGGCGACGGCATCGATGCGAGCAGCGACCTTCTCGACGACAGCGCCCCAGTGCAAGCGCAAGACAAAGGACAGCAACAAGCGGCGAGGCGTCAGCAGCCTCTACGGATCGGGCCCGCGGGAGCCGCTGTCCGTGTCCGACGCGCCGCTGCCGAAGCCGGTCGAGTTCAAGCCCAAGATCGAGGTGGACGAGAGCCACGGGCTGTGGGGGTTCTTCCCCGCGCCGGGCAAGCTGCTGCTGACGCCCAAGGAGACGGAGGAGCACGGCCGGGCGTGGACGGTAGAGGAGCTGCGGCGCAAGTCGTGGGAGGACCTGCACGCGCTGTGGTGGAAGTGCTGCAAGGAGCGCAACATGCTGGCTACGGCGAGGGAGGAGCTGCTGAGGGGCAAGTTTGGCTTTGGAGAGCGGGAGATTGGGACGCGGGATGACGAGGTGAGGAATTTTCTCCCCCTCCCTCATTTGGTGGCCTGGTGGGTATCTTCTCTCTTTGTTTCCTTTTTTACTGATTTTCGGTGTGTCTTGTGAACAGGTTACAAAGACGATGAGGGCGATCAAGCATACTCTTACGGAACGATTCTACACTTGGCAGGATGCTGTCGAGGTTGCCAAGTCGGATCCCGAGATCAACCTGGAGGCGGGAGATGGTCAGGTGTACACACCGTCGGCATACGAAGAGGCATATGACGATATCGCTCCTGAAGAGGAAGCACCACGATCAACAGACAAGGAGCCGAAAGAGACTGTGCGGTAGAACAGAGACAGTCGGCCGATCATCAACAGGCAGAGAAGAGAACAACAGGGTTCTCCAGAGGGGATAGAAGGAAAAGCTCGGGCGAGGTTGAAAAAGGGGGGGGAAGGGGGATCTGGTTGGGGGTTTATGACGACGGCCAGCATATGATATCAATCACGAGACCCAAGATATTTCTGGCCGGCCGTGTGTAGCATTATGGGATCTTGGCTACGTGTACTTTTGTACGAAGCATGTAGTCGCCGCATCCCGCCACCTTAGAAGCAATTGGCATTGTATATTACCAGTATGACATATACCGAAGTATCGAGATGACACGATGATGCAAAGCAGCATGTTTAATGATAGTGAAAGTCGAGTCAAATCTCGGCCGGGCTGGTCATTTGGCCGTTCCGGCGACTGGAAATTGGCGAGAGACGAAATGAGACGAGGCTCGTCTCATTAGAGAGCCCCCTATTTTCCATTTGTTCTCCCCCCTTCCTTTTTTCTTCTTCTTATTTTCACATCGTTTCTCGCTAACCCCTTGTTTTCAAATTGGCCTTTCTTGCATACATAGCCATGTACCTGCTCCGTCCGTGACCGTTTTGCTCGGCCTTTGACCAGGGGCCTCGCCGGTTCAGTCACCGTTTGGTTGAAGGAGCTGCTATGAGGCTTACGAAGTATGGGTTGGATGCCTTGGGACTGAGGTTACCACACTAAACATAGGTACTTACAACTGCCGTGATGCATCGGGTGCGCTAACTGGGCATCCGGAGATGCTACTTATGCGGCACGGGTTGCGCGGCGGTGAAAGGAGGTACTGGGGCGTGGCCGGCTGTTAGCTTGACACTCGGTGTGGAGATGGGTGTCTGATTCTTGTTTATGGGGACCAGGGGAGGATTGGAAGTCGAAGAGAGACACCGCATAATGAAACGGAGATGAAGAGTGTTTATTGATGATGAATACGGTTTCCGTTGTTGTTGGTGTTGTTGTTGGCATTGGTTCCGTATACTTTATTTTTACAAGTGTTAGACAGCAGGTCTTTGTCGCTCGACTCCTGACCAACTGCATCCTGCTGTGTGTATGTGTCTCTCATGCAAGATCCGGCAGTTGTTGTTTGTGAGACATGCAGTGGCTTCTACCTCTCTTTGCCAATTCCTGCTAGTAGTATTACTGTACAGTACTCAAGGTAGTCGTCGTCGTCGTCGTCGTACGGGGAAATGATCCGTCGTACTTTGTCGTAGTAGCGTCTTTTCTCTTCGGGATCAAGATCAGGGGAGCTTTAGATTTGGAGACGGTAGGTCATGTATTACGAACGGCGGGGCAATTTCAGCTTTGAGCCACGGAGGAGGAGGAGGAGGAGGATTGCTGTTGATATTCATCGTCATTGATGTGGCAGGCATTGATAAAGAGAAACGGAGATACCTGGAGAGAGAGATAGCATACATACGAGAATGACCTGAGAAAAAGAAATGAAAGTCATGTTAAACAATTAAAGAGACATTCGGCACATCATATATAGAATGAATAGTATACCAGACAGTAATAGGTACATACTGTCATTCATCCCCCTTCTGCTAGGCGAAATCCAGCGCGCTGATGAATTTCGGAACGGTGGAGCCGCGCCTTGCCCAGAACAGCCCAGCTTCTCGTCTCCGCACCTCACCGATTGATTGACTGGCCAGAAGCCCAGCAGGAAACCCCGCCACTTTCTCGCGACCCCTCTGCCTGCCAACCTCGACCTGCCCTGGCCTCTAAGACCTACTTCTGGCGACTCCGTATTAGAACCTGAAGCTTTGCAGACCTCTTCTTCTCTTCCTTCTTCTCTCCATTCCATCTAACACACGTTATTGCCTCCCTTCATATTTTCCTTCCTCCTCCTCTGCCTGTGCCTCTGCCTGACTGCTGCCGCCAGCGCTCAACGACCGAATCCGCCCCCTTTTCTCTACACGCCCATCAACCGACTCGTCCGTTATACCCACACCATGGAGGAGATTGCAAAGGAGTACGATGTCATCGTCTTGGGCACCGGTATGTGATGGTCCTTCTACCAAGCTCCTGCTGCTTTCCCGTCTCGAAGCCTCCAGCTTCGGCATCATCGAGGGCATGAGCTCTCGCATCTACAGCAAGCTTGCTCTCCTTGCGTTTGCCCAGCTAGCTAGCTACCTAGCTGCTTCGCCCCCGGCCTGCCATTGTCCCCTTTGCGTTCATGCTGCTGACCTTGCCCCCTTTTCTCGTTAGGCCTGACCGAGTGTATCCTTTCTGGGTAAGCGGACGACAATCGAGAGATGCAAAGCAACAATCCGGAACGATCGTATACTGACATCATCTGTTTCTGCAAAGTGTCCTGAGTGTCAAGGGCAGAAAGGTCCTCCACATTGACCGCAATGACCACTACGGAGGGTACGTCTTCTTCTTCCCCTAGCTCCCCCCTTGTTTCGCCGAGGTGGCATCACCGCCATTGGCCCCGCGGCACAACTCAACTAACACCGCTTTGCTCCAACAGAGAGGCTGCCTCCGTGAACATCGAGACGGTAAATCTTTCCACTCCTCCGACTCGCAACAACCTACATGCTGCATCCCCCCGTGCACTCCCTGCAACCTCGTTTGGCATTGGCACACCAAGTTCTAACCTCGTTGCTTCGCCACCATAGCTCTTCAAGAAGTACGGCAACTTCAAGGATGGCGAGAAGCCGTGGGAGAAGTACGGCCGCCTCAACGACTGGAACATCGACCTTGTCCCCAAGTTCCTCATGTCCTCGGGCGAGCTGACCAACATCCTCGTCTCCACCGACGTCACCCGATACCTCGAATTCAAGCAGGTTGCCGGCAGCTACGTCCAGCAGGGCTCCGGCCCCAAGGCCACCGTTGCCAAGGTCCCCTCAGATGCCGCCGAGGCCCTCAAGTCGCCCCTCATGGGCATCTTCGAGAAGCGCCGCATGAAGTCCTTCATCGAGTGGATCGGCACCTTTGATCCCAAGGACCCTGCTACTCACAAGGGTTCGCCGCACCCCCCCCCAAATGCACATTGCCAAAGAACCAGCTGCTGATCTGTTTCCGTTACAGGCCTCGACATGAACACCTGCTCCATGAAGGACGTCTACGAGAAGTTCGGCCTCGAGGATGCCACCAAGGACTTCATCGGCCACTCCATGGCCCTGTACCTTACTGATGACTACATCACCGCCGCTGGCAAGGCCCCCGAGGCCATTGAGCGTATCCGCCTCTACGGCAACTCTGTCGCTCGATACGGAAAGTCCCCGTACATCTACCCCCTGTACGGTCTTGGCGAGCTCCCCCAGGGCTTTGCCCGTCTGTCTGCCATCTACGGCGGCACCTACATGCTCAACACCAACATTGACGAGATCCTGTACGAGGATGGAAAGGCCGTTGGCATCAAGGCCACCATGACCGGCGTCGAGGAGATGAAGTTTGAGACAAAGGCCAAGATGATTCTCGGCGACCCCTCATACTTCCCTGACAAGACCAAGGTTGTCGGCCACGTCCTGAGGGCCATTTGCATTCTCAAGCACCCTCTCGCCGGTACCAACGACAGCGACTCTGCCCAGATTATCATTCCCCAGTCCCAGGTCGGCCGAAAGAACGGTAAGCTTGAAATTGCACCCCAAGAGTGGTGATTCATGACGCTGACTTACTCCCTTTTTTTTGCAGACATCTATGTCGCCTGCGTTTCATCTGCCCACAACGTCTGCCCCAAGGGCTACTGGATCGCCATCGTCTCCACCATTGCCGAGACCAGCGCGAACCACCACCTCGAGCTCCAGCCCGGTCTCGAGCGCCTCGGAGCCATTGAGGAGCAGTTCATGGTATGTTGCTGTCGACGCTTCATTGCCATGTCAAACCAAGCAGATGAAGACTGACTAATTCTGAAACAGGGTCCCCCCATCCCCATCTACGAGCCCCTCGAGGACGGCACCAAGGACAACATCTTCATCTCCAAGAGCTACGATGCTACCAGCCACTTTGAGACAACGACGGACGACGTCAAGGACATTTACCGCCGCGCCACCGGCGAGGAGCTCAAGGTTGAGGGTCTGAGGGAGGGCATCAACGTCACGGAAGAGTAAGGAGTGGAAATAGTAATGGTGCAAATCTTTGTTGTTATTGTCTGTTGAACCCATGTTATCGAGGCATCTTTGGACTTGATACTTCTCCTCCATTTGAACTTGCGAAGAGCGACCATGTTTTCTGTTTCTGGTCCGGTAAATCATCATGATGAACAAAGAAAAAAAATAATTAGTGTCTTCACAGTGGTCAGTATTCGGGAGGCAAGAGAGGAGCAGCAGAGGGGGAAGTCTTGTGCCGAGCAAGACCCGACCCTTCTCGTCATATATAGGGACTTTTGTCAAAGTGGTAGTATATTGTACTTTTAATCAAATCCGGAAACCATTAATTTGTTTCTTTTGCCTCTCCTTTCTCACCAGGATGCATCGTCGTTGCAGGGAACACACATGCTGTGCTATACCTGACACGTGGGTGTTAGGATTCTCCCAACTACTAGGTACCTCGACTCCCCCCAACCCTTCCACCACTTTCTTTCTGGATCGATATGTATATCCCCTTCGAGAACGCCCAACTCCTAAGCCATCGGTAGTGTTTTCCCTCGTGAATACTGAGAGAAGACTCAAGACACTATAACCGTGAATGATTGAATGCCAGCAATAACATGGAAGAAGAATAAAAATGAAGGGCGAATGGGTTTATCGTCGGTTGGTCTTGCCGATACCACGCTTTCCAGCAACCTGTTTGTAGAAATATGGTGGTTAGCACACATGTTGGTGAGTATCTTTCGGGTGGATTGGGATTGAACTTCTGCTCAAAACTTACCAAGTGCTTCGTCAGAGAAGCAGAAGTATGCCTGTCAGCCTCTCCCTGTCGGGCCATTCTGTTCATCCGCTTCTGGTTGAGCTTGGCTATCCGCTCGGCCTTTGACCTGGTGGCCTCGTCCTGGACGCCATCGTCCCTGCGGCTGACGGTCGGGTTCCTGCTGGCGGGCCTGCTCAGCGAGCGCAGGCGCTGGCGGTCCGTCTTGGGCGTGTCCACGTCCATGGAGTCGGCGTCGGCGGTGGCCTGGCGAGACATGGAGCGGCCGCGAGGGCGGATGGCGGTGGCGCGGGCGCGCTCGGCAATGTCCGTCGTGTCGACGCCGAGCGTGTCCAGGGCGTCCTCCATTTCCGAGAGCGGCTTCTTGACGAACTTGCGCGGGATGATGGCCTGGTTCTTGAGCCTCTTCTTCATGCGGGCCTCGTTGCGGATCAGCTGCTGCTTCTCCCGGATGAGCTCCGCCTTGCGCATGATCTCGGCCTCCTCGTCGTCCTCAATGTCCTCGTCCGAGTCGTAGAAGCCTTCCTGCTCGAGCTTCTCCTCCTCCTCTTCCAGGGCGGCCAGCTTGGCGTCGATGTCAGGATCGACGTAGTCGTAGACGTTCTTGCCTTCAAAGATCTCGGGCATCTTGTCGTACTTCCACTCGGGGTTCTTGAGCATCCAGTCGGCGCGCAGGTCGACGTTGAAGACGCCAGCGCCGCCGTTCTCCACCTCGACGTCCTTGGCCAGCTTGGGCCGGTCGGGGTCCTCCTTGTCATACTTCTTCTTGTTCTTGGCGGCCTCGGGGATGAAGGTCTCGAGGGCCTGGCCACCCATGGGCTGGGCGACGTGGATGCGGGCCATGACCTCGGCCAGGCGGCCTCCGATGGCGCCGCTGCTCGTGGTGCCGGCCTTGAGCTTCTGGTTGACGCGCTCGGCAAGCAGACGCTCGCAGGCGGCGTTCTTGACTTCCTGCACGCCTTCCTGGGTGTTGCAGGAGAGCTGCAGCATCTCGACCTCGCCGGACTTGAGGATGGACTGCAGCTCGGCCTGGAGCTCGGGCTGTAGGTCTTCGGGCCGGGCGACGTCGATCTTGTTGACGACAAGGAAGACGAGCTTGTTCGCAAAGAGGGGCTTGATGCTTCGGAAGAGCTGGATCTGGGCCTGAACGGAGTAGCCGCACTGCTCGGACAGATCCATAAAGTACATGATGGCGGATCGCAAGTGAGCAATGGCAGTGATACTGTACGGAAGCGCGTCGATTAGCATTGGGCATTTTACACGGTTCAAGAAGGGAGCCGCGCCACATACCTCTGCATTTCGATAGTGTTCATCTCCTCAAGAGGGTGGTCCAGAATACCGGGGGTATCAATGGCCTGGAATCGCAGGTACTTGTAGTCAAAGTGGCCGACAAACAGACTCTTGGTGGTGAAAGCATAGGGCTGGACGTCCACATCGGCGCGGGTGATACTTCGCAGGAAGCTGGACTTGCCAACATTGGGGTAACCGCAGATGAGCAGGGTCCTGGTGTTGGGGTCGATGGAGGGAAGACGGCCGAGATGCTGGCGGACCTGGTCCAGGTACAGCAGGGGGTCCTTGAGGCGCTTGACCAGCGTGGCCATGCGACCGAGAGCGGCCCGCTTGAGCTGCTTGCACTGGTAGAGCGACTGGGCGTATTTCAAGAGACGGACGTAGTCGCGCGAGATGGTCTCGACCAGGTGCTTGGCAGTGGACATCTGGCCAAGGGCAATCTTGAAGTGGTCGGCATCGTAGAGGGTGTTGAGAAGGTCCTTGTGGAAGGGGTGGATGTCCTGGAGGCGAGGGAAGCTGTCGAGGATGGAGGCGAACTTTTCGGAAAACGTCTCCTGGGTGAACTTGACCTTTCGAGTGTAGAAGGCTGTCTATGTGTTAGCATCGCCATGCAATCATGATCGTTCTCCAAGGACCCCGATAATGAGACATCCTGCGATGGGCAATGCGACGTACCTCGAATTCTGCTAATCTTGAAGCCGGCACGGATCTGAGTGGGCAGTTTGCGCTGGGTCCTGCTCAGCACAATGTCCAGAAACTCCTGGTGCGTAGGCACCGGAGGGATGTCCTTCCACGTGGTCTTCATGGCGGGCAACTTTTGATCGAGGAAGTGCTGTTTTCGGGTGGTGATGCCAAAACAGCCCTTGGCGATGGATTTTTTTCTTTTCTTCCTGATACCCCAAGACGGGAGAGAGGCTCGAGGTTTAGCCAAATGCCGGGGCCAAAGGCTAGGCGGTGAATTTTTTTTCTTGTCTGTGGGCGGAGCCTTTCTGGCGGAAAAAAAGTTTTATCGATAAGCTATCAAGGCAAAGAGGCGACTTGTTAGCGGGGCATTGATAAGCTGGAGGTACCATGGCATAGAATTGTGGAGGGGACGATACACGCACCATGGACCCCAGTGGGGAAGCAAGAGCGGGAAGGAGAGCTGCGAGACGTACAGTGTGAATTGCTTCACGTCTAAAGTATCAAGGTATGGAGCTGGATGGATGGGCTAAGGTAGTAGACGGCTTCCCTCAGCAACTGAGCTTAGTTATGATGCTATAACGTCCACTTTGATCTGCGAAATTGGGCAAAAAAAAAAAAAAAAAAAAAAAAAAAAAAAAAAAAAAAAAGAATCTATTGCATTAATGGACATATATAAAGGTCAAAAGGCCGCAGAATTGACGTCGTAGTCTAGCCAGGTAGTTGATGCCGGATCTATGCTCTTCACCGTTCAGAGACGAAACTTTTACTTCATTAGGGGGAGTCCAACTTTTCATTCTCACTCTGTGAGAAGCTGTGTCACAATACTTCAGAGGCATTAAAGCTACCTCAGCTCTTTAAACATGTCAATTCTATCAAAATTAGGTATGTGATTCAAGTAGTGAACAATATGTGGCCGTTACTCGAGTTTATAAGTGACAACATGCTCTCAAAGCGCTCATGGCTGGCACAAGCCTGGAAAGAACCAACACAAAGCATACTGCAGCAAATCAGCTGAATTCGTCACCAATTAAGTGAACATCAACCTGAAGGCAGAGTATGAGGCCAGAAGCACATCTGGATCGCAGATCATGGATTGCCCCTCTTGTTGAAGATGAGAATCTAGAAAGATGGCGGGGTATGAGATAAGAGCGATGGGGGGGCACATCATCTTCCAAGACAAACAACCTTTGCAGAGTCAGGCAATTTTTCGTATAAGAGCAGGAGGAGGGAGTCCAGTCATTTCATCAGCGGTAAAATCACTCTAGACAATCTTCAAGATGAGTTCTGCCTTGGGTGACTTATAGCCATCATCATACCTAGACAGAAGCTTGTGGGATACTAAGACCAACGTACAAGCTCGCACTGTACGCTTTGACTTCCATGTGAAAACTCGATACGGCGCGCCTCTAAATTTTATAGCTCAACCACTCCAATCCAACCTCTGCATCCCTCTCACTCGTCCTGATCTACTGTTCAAATCAGAGAATAAGGACACTATCCAAATCCAACAGAATGGCTACCACCTCCCAGCTGCCTGCCTACAAGCAGGACTTCCTCAAATCCGCCATCGACGGCGGCGTCCTCAAGTTTGGCAGCTTCGAGCTCAAGTCCAAGCGGATATCCCCCTACTTCTTCAACGCGGGCGAATTCCACACGGCGCGCCTCGCCGGCGCCATCGCCTCCGCCTTTGCAAAGACCATCATCGAGGCCCAGGAGAAGGCCGGCCTAGAGTTCGACATCGTCTTCGGCCCGGCCTACAAGGGCATCCCGCTGTGCTCCGCCATCACCATCAAGCTCGGCGAGCTGGCGCCCCAGAACCTGGACCGCGTCTCCTACTCGTTTGACCGCAAGGAGGCCAAGGACCACGGCGAGGGCGGCAACATCGTCGGCGCTTCGCTCAAGGGCAAGAGGGTCCTGATTGTCGACGACGTCATCACCGCCGGCACCGCCAAGAGGGACGCCATTGAGAAGATCACCAAGGAGGGCGGCATCGTCGCCGGCATCGTCGTGGCCCTGGACCGCATGGAGAAGCTCCCCGCTGCGGATGGCGACGACTCCAAGCCTGGACCGAGTGCCATTGGCGAGCTGAGGAAGGAGTACGGCATCCCCATCTTTGCCATCCTCACTCTGGATGACATTATCGATGGCATGAAGGGCTTTGCTACCCCTGAGGATATCAAGAACACGGAGGATTACCGTGCCAAGTACAAGGCGACTGACTGATTGAGGCGTTCAATGTCAGAAGGGAGAGAAAGACTGAAAAGGTGGAAAGAAGAGGCAAATTGTTGTTATTATTATTATTCTATCTCGAATCTTCTAGATCTTGTCGTAAATAAACAAGCGTAACTAGCTAGCCTCCGTACAACTGCTTGAATTTGATACCCGTATGGAGGGCAGTTATTTTATTTTGTTTTTCAAGATTTTCCATTCGCCGTTGAACTCGTCTCACATCGCGTGTATTGCCCGGTTGCCCATGTGTTCTCCTACTACCCCAAGTCCCTCACGGGTTGTCTCACTTTCTTTCTCCTTTATCCTCCCTATTTTTTTTCAAGTCAGCGACAGAGCAGTCATATGGGGATACGTGCAACTGGGACTCACAACAGGCCATCTTATGGCCTAATAGCCGGCGTTGGCAATTGCTTGCTTTCGCCAGTCTGTTGATACTCTCGTGAGCCACTCCGCTCACGATATCCCTTCATTGTGCAGCTTCCTTTTCCCTTCCAATTCCTGCTGCTTCCAGACTATGCCCCGGGCTGCTTTGTTGATCGCCCTCTCGCCCTTCCATACCATTTTTCTAGTTGATCATTAATACCATTACGCTCCATGTTTAATGATCATATTCCTGATGCAAACAGCGCCGTGAACGTTTTCTTCACATAGACATGCGTCTGCCGTGTCCCAAGGTATACAAAGAGCCGCCAAAGAAACAAACAAAGAAGGTCGACATGCGTAGCACACATCGTATCAGTCAAATGGTTCACATCTTCTTGGCAGCGTCGGCAATGCTATTCCAGTCGATAAAGTCTTTGGGCCCGGGCAAATCGAAGACCTAAAGAAACAAGTCAATATGACGTATAGCGAGGTTTGAAAATCGTATAGAGTCTGGCCAAGTCGATGTGGAAGCACACACCATGTTGTAGTATTCGCCGACCAGAGTCTTGATACTACTCCGGCCGCTGTTCCTGAAGCCGCATCTTTCAAAAAATCTCGTCTCGGGCTTGCGGCAAACGAGAGCAACACGGTCCGCGGCGCCGAGGCTGTTCATGCGCTGCACATACGACTTCAGAGTCGCAGTACCGAGACCCAAGCCCTGGAGACGAGGGCAGACGGCCACCGAGTGGAGGCAGATGGTGCGCCCATGAGGCCGGTGGCCCACAGGTTCACTCGGATATCTGTCTCTACCGTGGAGAATTGCCGCCCAGTTCTTGGGGTAGTCCATGTCTTCATCCGTCACGACGGGGCTGCATCCCAGGGTGGCGATGATGTGAACAAACATGAGTCTCCTGACGTCTTCGGGGCAGCCGTCGATGTTCCAGCCGCGCATCTTGGTCGCCAACCACCAGTACTTGCGCTCCGTCATGTCACAGATGTTGAAGAGGCCGTAGCTAAGGTTACCGGAGAATCTGATGCGATATTCGGCCTACAACCTCGTTAGCAATCCTCCTTGGAGCAGTCGTTCCCACCAGATACGCATGCGACAGGAGCAAGGTGTGGACGTCAAAGGAGGCCACTCACCAGTGGGCTGCTGAAACCACGCTGAGAGTGCTCGAAAGCAAACTGCTCCAGCAACACGGCCGTGCCAACGTGCTGCGGTTTCAGGAAAGAGAGTTTGGGGTTGAAGCAGAAGGGGAAGCTCCTCAAAAAGTCATCCGAGCGACAGACCTCATAGAAGTGAAACTGAGAGATCCTGTCGAACCCAATGGTCTCTACTTCCATGAGGTCCTCGTCTATATCGAACTCATCGTTGGTGCTGATGGGTAGGAAGGAAACGACACATCGACAAGTCCCCAAGCTAGAGTTGTTCGTTGCTAAGGAGCCCTGACAAGCGGTGGCTACCATGGCGTCTTCTTGCTTCTTCATCTGACTTTCTTCTCTTTTCCTCCTTCTTTCCTTTTCCCTTTTTCTTTCTTTTCTTTTTTTTTTCTTCCTCTCTCCTCTTCTTCTCTTCGTTTCTCTCCCTATCCTCGTCCTGCTACCTGCTGATTACGTTGAGTTGAACCGTGACAAGTGTTGACAAAGCAGGCTGAAGAAGAACTAGGTTGTGATAGGGCCAATGTTAAATAAGGGTTAGGAAGATCAGGCAGATAGGGCACATGGACTCTTGAGGGTCTTTTATGCGAGGGCGTGATATTTTTAACATTGGCGGCCAGCCACGGTGAAAGACATACATGATGCATCCAGCAATCAGAAAAAGAAAGCAACGTCTCAAAAGCAAAGCAATATTGTGTCCTGATAAGCCGCGGCTGCAGGTGGCTTGACACAGGTGTCCGAGCCAACACACCACTGATGGCTGTGAAGAGACAGTAAAGGATACAAATACTCGTGCGAGTATGCTGAGTTCATGAGCATCGCTGTGACAGCTCCTCCCCTGAGCTTGTGCGGGGAACAAATGAGACCAAAGTTGTTGAGGTCGCTCGCCGTGGTGTCCGTACATTGCATAGGTATTCAGCCTGTGGGCGTCGTAGCCCCTGGACAGGGTTGAGACGGACAGGCACGTGGGCAAATCACAGAGCGTCGCCAAACCGTTGGCACCTTGACTCTCGATCTCTTGAAGTTGGGTCAGTTCGTTATTAGTGTAAGAAATAGGCGCTACTGCATTGCAATACTAGCAGAAGAGCAGGCATGTCTTCTAACGGAGTGAGGGCATGGATCCAGGCTTCGCTTTCAGCTGGGTGGATTGACAAGCATCTGCGAGGGCGGCGTACGAAGTACAATGGATAGCCTTGGCCCTGGTTGCCTCGGCCCTGGTTGCGGCAGTCCAGGCTGGGCTGGTGAGGGCGAATGTGACTTGTCAGTTGATGCGTTGACTTCAGTATCTCTGAACCCAAGGCGTGCTCCTAGGCTCAAGGACAGGCAGCAGCCCTATGAGCACTGGTCCACCCATCCGATGCTCATCTTGCCCCTGAGTGTAGGCAAGAAGCTGGCTCTGCTATACCTGGTAAAAATCAGCGACACGCGTGTTCAGCGATGAGAGTTGGAGGCGCAATTTCGCACGGTATCCGCCAGCTCACAGAGTTATACGGCTGCATGGTATAGTGAGGGAGAGCTCCGAAATCGCCAATCTGAACGGAAATCAGAGTAAGGGAGGGCATTCGTGGGCGGGGAAGTGCACCGTATTGCCAATCATATCGCATCATACCCCGAGCCGGCAGTTCAGAAGACTCACGGGGGGCGGAGAGCATTGCGTGATGAACTGGCGGTAACCAAACCGGAGCACCTAGGCTACTATCAGCCCTCAAGCAGGGAGAGCTTTCCTGCCATTGGATACAGTGTCACGGTGACCGACTGGCGGGCTTGCCACCTGATATCGACCTGAGTATTGTGCCCCAGGATATGGGGTGATGCTCTGCGAGAGATCTCGGAGGAGATTTTACTGCGTGCGAGGGTTACACACTCACGCGCCCAAACTGAAAAAGCAAACCGAAAGATCAGAGGAAGGTGTAGGCGAGTAGAAAGGAAAGAGGCTGGTGTTGGCACGTTGACCTCCCTGGTTGGGATGCATGAGGCTGAGGGGAAGTGAGCATGTAGCCGTGTTGCTTGATATACCCTGCAGCGTGCCGCATACAAGTACGCTGTCTACCATGCAATGCACTCAAGACTCCGGGGGTGTCGCGGACCAGTATCACATCGCGAACTGCAGCCGCGAGTGACCCTGAGGCCACATTGACCGGCCTTTTGTCTCACATGTCATGGACGGCGACTTTTTCCACAGACGCTTGACCCCTTCACGACCCTGACAGGGCTGGAAACTCAACCCAGGAGAATGGAGCCAGATAGGCGATGGACGACCAGCCAGGGGTCTGAATAGCGCTGACAGAAAGAAAAGAAAAGAAACAGCAGTAATGTTGACAGGCTGGTTGTGTACGATATTCCAAGTGGAAACCATCCCCAGGCACTCGTGGTCGTGGTGGCATTGGCGTTCGCTCAGAAAAGGAGGAGAGACACCGGGTTCATTAAGCCGTTACAGCTCTTCATGGTGTTGGACTCAGATAGGTACAACTGCATTGGCCGAAGTGAAGAAGAGACCCTGGGCGCCTTGAACGAGACAAATGCGGAAGTGACCATGGCCAATGGCTTCTGGGCTTTGATGTGAGCAGATAGTTGGGTTGCGTTCCGCTAGTTAAGCCCATTCGGGGGGGGGGGCATATCCCAACCGCCTGGGGGGTTGGTCGAGACGGCAATTCGAATTGCCGGTTCGGATGCAGCAGCAAGGAGGCTTCAAGGCCACCGCTTGGGAAGCACGACGAGGAGCAGACACACCAGCTCCAACTTCGTTGTGGTTTCTAGAGAGCCGGGACTCTTGGTCTCAGGAGATGTGGCGGTGCCTGCCACTGACTGGTCGGATGCACGTCTGCACACAGATGGCGAGCTAGTAGCATCACGGCATGCAAGCTCTGCCATCCCCGGAGGCAGCAGCGTCCAGAGACGTGTCTCAGGACTTCGACCGGCTTCGACGAGGTTCTCGATGGCACTGTCGCAGCTGCGTCTGGTGCTGATCCTGCGAAGGGCGGTTAGCATGAGCAGTCAAGGCAGCTCAGAGACAGGCAAAGACAGGCAAAGACAGGCAAAGACAGACAATAGCGCAGAGGCGGCTTCTCCGCACCGGTGAAAGCTCGACTGGATGCCATTGGTGAAGGAAAATGGCGCGTCGGCTTATGTGCGTGTGAGTGGCTGCGATGCTCAGAAGGCGCGGAGAGAAGCAGAAGCAGGGAGACGCGGGCGGGTTTTATGTGGGTGGCATCAAATGGGCGATGGTTGAAGTGCAGACTGACAATTTTTCGTACGGGCTGATGTCTGCAGGAGGTACCTTAGGCAGGTGTGGTGGGGAGGGGAGGGGAGGTTGTTGTCGTACCAGGCAGGGACCACGGAGAGCAGATGCCTCACTTTGACCAGGCTCGTACGCGCGGCGTCAAGAGACTTTGCCCAATATGATGTCTACAGGTGCAGTTGCTCGAAAGGAGTACTCTCTCCTGGGCGGCATGAGATATTAGCCGTATGATACCCTATGCTGTCAACATGGAGGTACACTTTACCCTATACGAGGTCGCCATGACATGGCAATACTCCCACACGCTCCTAGCATGCTTGATGTACGCATGTGCATCTTATGAGAATCGATTCTTGATTTAGTATTCTCTGTATTTTTATCAACAGTCACCTCGTATTGTACAATTGTTTAGAATCGATGTATCGCATGCACGGATATTAATGGCTGTCAGACTGGCACCGAGTCTTGATATCAGAGTAAGCCTTGGACGTGTCATTTGATTGACCTGGACAAAAGACTGCATCTTAGATGGGCCACATTGATGCAGTCATTATGTATGCAATACATCTACCTGCCGTCTGAATCGGCTTCTAAGCTATTCGTACAGGTATCAAGCCACGGCAATACTCACATATGCCTGACTCGGGAGAAGATAGACGCAGGCGGAATACGTGTCAAGTAAATGTTGCTTGAGCTCGATGTGACTGCATCAGCGGCTTAGCTAAAAGAGGGACCTGGTCTGCAGACGCATAGTTTGAATGCATGTCATTCAATGTTATCTGTTCGTCGTCGATAATGATATTCATCTGAAATCGTAAGAGTCAAGCTGTCACATAATATTACTCGTACGTTTTCTTGATACGAATGATACGTGTTTCCGTAGCTGTTTGTGGTCCTTCTGGGTCTGTTGGCAGCTCGAAGAAGCATACCAAAAAGCGAGCTCAGGTGATGATATCCAATCTGAGCTCTCCCTCTGTCCAAGACACTGAACATTTACCTCATAGGTACACGTAATATGAAGATGAGTCGTATCGGATACAATATGCCTTTTCAGGTTTCGTAGCATCAAATCCAGACCTGTAAACATTGAGGCAACAACCTCTCCAGCCTCCCCTAAATTGCCCATTGGGGTGTCGGGTGCCAGAAACGTGCAGCAACTGGATCACCACTCATCCTAGAGGTAGGTACTCAGCCCGCCAGCTCGAGTTTCAAGTTACATAAAAACCATGGAGCCCAGAACGGCCCTAGTGAGCCCTGGAGCACTATAAACCTGAAAGACACCAGCGCCTCCAGCTGCAAATCTCCCGAACAGCCCCCCCTGTAACTCCGACCCAGGCCCCTCAATCCACCAAGGCCCCCCCCCGCCAGTGCCCCTCCAAACGCATTGTCCCGGCCAAACGGGGCTGCCAATCCGCTGTCGTCACCGCCAGGCTTGCCTGCATCGAGGAGTGATGACGCCCCAGACGGAGCTTCCAGCCAGCATTGCAACAACCCAAACAAGCATCGAATCTAGCTTTTCTGCCCCTCCAGCTCTGCCCCTCATCAGCTCCCCCCCCCTAAGTGGTAGGCTTCCCGCATCTGCAATTGTTGGATCCGGCCATTCCAAGCAGCTGGCCGAGACGCTGACTTGCATAAACTCGCCTGCTCGCGTGTTTGTCTGGTACGAATGCTACGCACAACCTGACCAGCAAACACCTGATTCGTAATTCCTGTCCCTGGAAGCTTCACCAGCCGACGTTGCCATCGATCCATCGTGCCGTTACTCTGACCCGGGCCTTGCTTTCTTACACTTACTAAACATCGTCGTCTCCGTCCTTCGCCGTCCTTCTTTGCGATTCCACCTCAACATCAAACGCCGCTGGCAACACTTTATCTTGTCTTCTTCTTTCCACCTTCTTTCCGTCCCGTTTCTCTCGCGGTAAACACCAAAGTCGACCAAAGCCAAACATGTACGTCTTGCTCGAGCTGGAGATGGGAGCTGTTTGTTGAAGGGAAAGGAGGAGAGGGGGGGGGGCTAACGCGAAGCTTTCTTTGTTAGGCGCATCACGCTCAACGTCTTCAATCCTCATGGAGGAGACCAGGACAGCCTGGTGACCCTCGAGGTCTTCCCCGACATGACTGTCGCAACCCTGCGCGAGTCCGTCCAGGCCGAGGCCGGCATCCCGCTCACGTCGCAACACATCTACCACAACGGCCGACTCATCTCGGACGATGCCAAGACCATGGAGCAGCTGCAGATTGGCGATGGCGACATGCTGGCCGTCCACGTCCGGGACATGAGAGGCAGCACCGGGCCTCCGGAGCCGGCAAGCCGACCTCAACCTGCCGCTCGCCAACAGCCCAGTGCTGCCGCGGCGGCTGCAGCCGGAGCTGCAAACGACACCGAGATGCTTCGCCTCCAGATTCTGGGCGACCCCGCCATCAGACAGCAGCTGTCCAGGCAGCACCCGGAGCTTGCCGCGTCCGTCGAAGACCCTGCGCAGTTTCGAAGAATATTCCTCGACAGCCAGGACAGAGAGCGGAGGGAGCGAGAGGCGCGGCAGCGCGAGATCGAGCGCCTCAACGAGGACCCGTTCAACGTTGAGAACCAGAGGAGAATCGAGGAGATGATCCGCCAGGAGCGTGTCATGGAGAATCTGCAAAATGCCATGGAGCACAACCCCGAAGGCATGTACGATGACGTCCCATGACCCCTGTGAGATGCGGGGAGCTGACTCTGCCGCGTTCATACTACTAACTGTCTGTACCAGTGTTTGGCCGCGTCCACCTGCTCTACGCCAATGTGGAGGTCAACGGCCACAAGGTCAAGGCCCTCGTCGACTCGGGCGCGCAGGCGACCATCATGTCGCCGTCGTGCGCGGAGGCGTGCGGCATCATGCGCCTCGTCGACAAGCGGTTCGCGGGCGTGGCTCGCGGCGTCGGAACGGCTACCATCATCGGCCGGGTCCATTCGGCCCAGATCAAGATTGGAAACCTGTTTCTGCCATGCAGCTTCACCGTCATGGAGGGAAAGTCTGTTGAGCTGCTCCTGGGACTGGACATGCTCAAGAGATACCAGGCTCACATCGACCTGGCAAAGGACAAGCTCATCATCCAAGGCGAGGAGATCCCGTTCCTGGGAGAAGCCGAGATTCCAAAGGAGGAGGAGACGATTGTTCAAGAGCCAACGATTCCAGGACCGGCGGGAACTGCCATTGGCCAGAGATCCGGAGCTGTTATGCCTGCTGAAGCTGCACCCTCGCAATCGGGTTCGCAGCCCGCCGCCGGCGCACCGCCGCAGGCACAGCAGCCCTCGGCGCAGTCTCGGCCCCCGGCCCCAGGGGCCAACGTCACGCCAGCTCACATTGAGAGCCTCGTCGCCATGGGTGCTACGAGGGAACAGGCCATCCAGGCACTCCAGGCTGCCGAGGATAACGTTGATATGGCGGCCAGCCTGATCTTCTTCTGAACAACGAGCGTCCTTCAGGCTTTTTCTAATGAGAGCACGAGTAAATCAGCATATCCCCGCGATGAGGGATTGGTGTCGTTATGGCAAGGGTTAATGAAATGGGATTCATGGATTTTTGCTTCTTCCTTCTTTGTACTATCTGCTTCTCTTGAATCTGTTTCTGCAGTTCTGGCCCCCCCCCCCCTCTTTCTTCCATCAAAGTCAAGAGGAGAGTTCGCAACATCCATTGGATGGTGATGATGCCTGGGAGCGTGGAAAAAAAAATCTAGAGGCGTTTGGAGAGCCGCCGCCATGGAAGTAATAGAAGAGGTACAGACAAGGGGAGACAAAAACGGAATAGAAGCCACTCAAATACGTCGTCATGCAATACTCTGCCAAAATTTCGATCATTAAGAGTGATATATATGTATCTGCGCTCCCGAAACTCCTGCCAAACAATCCCTCACAAAGGTTTGCCTCTAAGCGTCCCGAAAATGCCACATGCATGTGTTTTGTTTTGATCTCGCTATGAGGCTCATCGAATCTTGTAAACACAGGGCTTGAGAATGGCACCCTCGGTTGCGTCGTCCAGCTCATCCGCATCTTCGTCTTGCGCGCGACCAAACATCTTCTTCTTCTTGGGGCCGGCATCATCCGGCCGGACATTCTTGCCCTTTGTGGGCGCGGCGCCCTTGATGAAGCGCATCTTGACAAACATCCTGTTTGACAGATCGACGGCCTCTTGGCGGTCGCCGTGCAGGACGAAGCCGCGCTTGCGCAGCGCCTCGACAAAGGCCGACACGTCCGTCTCGCGGCGCTGGTCGTCCTGGCCGTCCACCTCGACGGCGAGATCCTTGTCGAAGCGGCCGGCAGCCTCGGCCTCCTTGGCCTGGAGCTCCTTCTTGGAGGGCTTGCGCCGGTTGCCGACGCTGTGCGCCACGGGCGCGTGCTTGTTGCGGACGGGGCCGAAGCGGCTCTTGATCTCGGCGACCCAGAGCTCGCCCTTCCAGTGCAGCAGGCGGTAGGCCTCGTCGACGAAGTCGAGCCAGTTGGTGCCCATGAGGGCGAGGCAGAAGATGGCCACGTTGACGGAGCCGTCCTCCATCGGGATGTTGGCAATGTCGGCCTTGGTCACGAGCGGGCTGGGGCTCTGGAGGTCGAAGCTCCGGACGTCGAGATGGAGCTTGGCCTTGTCCGCCTGCAGCGACTCGGCCAGCCGGGCGTCGCCGCACCCCAGGTCGGCAATGGTGCATGTGCCGGCCGTCCTGGGCAGACAGGTGGCGCTGAGCTGAAGCTGCGGCGCATTGGGCCTACCCTTGCCGGGCGTCCTGATCTTGGCTCGTGTGCGGATGTCGCGCAGGAAGCTGTCGACGGGGTTTTCAGGCCACACCTTGACCTGGCGCCGGAAGCCCTCGTGATACTCGTCAAACATCTCGGGCGATTCTTGGAACAGCTTGAAGGCCTCCTCAGAGGGCCGCGTGTAGAGGGTCTCGTTGAGGTGTCGGAATCGCGCCGAAATCAGCTTCTCCCTCATCGAGGCTTGTAGAGGCGTCAGCTTGGGCGGTGCCGGGGGCAGAACCGTTGCAAGCTCGGATTTGGTCACTGCGTCTGATGTGGACTTGGACTTGGCCTTTGACTTGGTCTTGGTCTTGGATGAGTCGGCTGCTGCGATTTCACTGTCGCCCTCGTTTTTCGGTTGCTTGCTCTGTTCTAGACTCTCAGGTTGGCTCGTGAGTTTGGACTTATCCTTCTTGTCCTTCTTATTCTTTTTGCCTTGCTTCTCGCTGCCTTGTGACTTGGAGTCGCCGTCGCCCGTCTTCTCGCCGTCACCCTTGGCCTTGTCGTCGGATCCTTTCTTCTGCCTTTTTGACTCCTGAACAGCTTTGTCATTGCTGGGCTTCTTCCCCTCGACGACCGTCTCCCACAGATCAGCGACGTTGGCGGCCGTCACCGGCTCCTCCTTGGTCGTCCTCTTCCGCTTCCTGGACTTGGCCCCAGAGGCGCCACCGGCTGCGGCCGCCGGCTTTTCGGGCTTGAGCGCCTCGGAGGACACTGACCAGCCTGGAACTGCGAACATTTTGCCTCGACCGAAGGTATATTTGCTTTGCTGAGTTGATGGGTGTGGTCTGCTGGTGCTGGTGATGGTGCTGGGGCGCTTCAATGGACTTTTTTTCAGTTGCCTTTTATCGATAAGGATAAGCGGGAAATCGATCAATCGCTCGACACTTGCCTTAGGTAGGTGTAACTCCAGTTTTAGTGCGGGCGTCCCAACTCAAAAGCACAGGTGCATCCAACTCACCAGCTTTTCTCGCATTTACCTTGTCTGTGTAATAACCTACTACCTACCTAGAGAATACTCATCTCTGGCATCTGATTTCACTCATCATGAAGCTCTCCTGGGCTTTTGTCGCAAGGCTCCATTGCGCCAAATCACCACTTGTCCATCATGGAACTCGGAAGTAGGAGCCTAGGTACTTGTACAAAGTCGTACATGTCCTTCGTGCATGTCCTTCGTGCATGCCTACCTAACCCCTCGTTCACCTGCACAATCCACGCACAGGTACAACCACAAGCACTTTGATCATCTATCATGCTGATCCGGAGTCAATAGCAATGTCCCTCCGGCGGGCACGAATCAGAAGAAGCTGGCAATCTATGCCCAATTTCCGAAATTAGTATCGGATGTCCTCCCGGGTTCCCGATGAGCACCCCTCTCCAGGATGGGATGAGCATCTGTGGCCCATACCACAACGCCAGGTTCGCAGACCCTGGGTCTTGTGCTTGTGCCTGTGTTTGTGCTCGGCCATGCCAGGTTTGCAGCACTATCGGGCGTGGCTTTGGCGCGCGACAACACCGTCGTCTTGGTGGACAATTGTGTGCTCACGAGCCTGAATATCAGAACATCAATGTTTGGTGTCGCTTTTGCTGTGAGCTACGCACCCTCTAAGCCTTAAAGGTACACGAATTACATTGGTCAAAATCGTGGCCATGAGGGCCCTGGGGCCATGGCGTCATAAGGCCTGGGACTCCTCACTTTTTGCTCAGCGCTGTCACGCAGATATTCATGTGTTGACTCTGACTCTCCTAGAGAGGTTGTGGGATCTTGACTGTTACAGTATCGGTACGTGAGCACAGGAAAGCCGAGAGTCCATGGCCCAAGTCTCGACTCGGAAGATAAAGCCCGACCAAGCACACTGAGGATACTCTCGCCTACCAGAGATCGCCCCGTGTTGCCACCTCAGCAGCATGGTAGCATCGAGGGTGACGACCTCTTCTCTCGAGGCAAGCCAAGGCCATACGCGATGCTGGACGCAATCTCGATCTATTGCTTCAGCCGCCCATCCTGTGCATCGACAGAAGGACCAGACTGATTCGTAGACTGCCTTGGACAGTGGACATGGGAGACTGAAAGCAGGGAGGCCAGCAACGCCACGTCTCATGACCAGCGAGGCATAACATGCATCGTGTATGCCCGAACTGCGGCATACTTTTGGTCTTGATGCACAGGTGAATGCAACCGGCGTGCATACACAGGCGGTTGAAGCTCAAAGTCTCGCTGCTATCGAGGCTCCACCACCCTCTCCATTCGAAGCCAAACGCAACGTGTGGCAAGGTAGGTATCAGAGAAGGTGTGTGCCAACATCTGTATTGAGGCCTAAGGTAACAACTGCAGCCCACCTACCTAATGACATTCGATGAACGCGAAAAAGGCTGCTCTACCTGGCTAGTAGGTATTATTCTCACCGGCTGTGGCAGCCACTTGCATGCAGTCAAGGCCTATGTGCTTCGTTCATATGCCTGTATGTTGAGGTGCATTGCATTGGATTCATGTAGGGGGTCGCTTTTCAGGTGCGGAGCCCGACCCCCCCCTCTGCCAGGTACTTACTAAGGAGGTACAGTAGTATTAATGGATCAGGTAACGTACCTACAAGTATAAACGAGCAGTTTCAGCTGGCAGTGGCTGCGGGCTATCAGGCAGGTAGGCATCTAAGGTAGTAGTGGAAGAGAAACCTGACTGTTTGCTTCGGGCATGTCTATCAGTCAAGGCACTATTGCCTACCTACCTACTACCCAATACCTTACCTAGTACCTCCCCTGGCCTTCAGGTTGATGCTCCCTCAGTACCTGTGCCTTATAAATATCACGCCAGGTCGGTGCCTTGTCCTTGCCCGAACAGACATCTCTTGACCTCGACAACCTTCCTTCTGCCTCGTCAGAACCATGGCCAACGACCAGATGCTCTTCTTTCTCGCGGAGAGGAATTGCTTCCTCTGCCGCAACAACCTCCCTTTCTTTGCGGGAGTCAGCCCTGCCGCTAGGCAGCCCATGACGTGGGAGATGCATGTGCTTGGCTGTAAGTGAAACCGCAGGCAGACATCAAGAGCGACACAACCCCATCAACAAACCGTCCATCTTGGTTCCTACTTTACCTTTGGTATATTTGCTCACACGTGTTATACCCAGTCATCGACACTTCCGTCGATCCTTCTCAGGGCGCGATAGTCTTCACTTTCAAGGTTGACCTCAGCGATCCTCAGTTCATCATCAATCCGACATTCACTCTCCCCTCTCACGGCGGGAGGATCACCATTGCTGTTGTCCACGAGCGCCCACGGAGCAAATACCGCCCCGCCTACTTCGCCCATCAGGCATGCTGCAAAGTTGTGGCGTTGCTTCGGCGCAGGCTTGCGTGCCGTGAGCTCTACAATCTGGCCGTGCAGACATCTGAGCTACTGCCCAAGGATTGCTGGGGACAGGAGCGTCCATGGCATCTCGCCTCGCTTGCGGGTGCCGTTGAGACTGGCATCGTCGACGCCCAGAACACAAGCCTCGGTTCTTGCCTGTTGAAGTGTGCAAAACTGCCCTATGAAATGCAGAATCACATCTTGAAATACATGCAGGGGACCAGTCTTGCGTCCGCGTTGATGACGGCTCTTCACACTTCTACCGCCACCCATTGTCGCTCTCTAGCCTCAATGCCCAGTCACCCAAGCGTCAGAAGCCTCCTACCTGCAGATTATGTCGACGTAGCCCACGTCTGCGCCTCCTTTGTCACGGTATTCGGCTGGTCGTATCTGGATTCACTCGAGATTTTCCACAAGGGGGGTCATGGTGACGCGGCTCACCAGAAGTGCCTCGAAATCAGGATCAATGCTGTTCGGCGAGTCGAGTTCATCACTGGAATGCACGGCATATCGGCCATCAGGTTCTACTTTTACGACGGGTCTGTTTCGAATTGGCTGGGGGATGCCAGAAGAGGCTGGCGAAGTAAGCCAATTGAAGTCACTCGCAGTGACATCTTTTTCCCAAGACATGTAAGAGCCCTCTCCCAATTGTAAGGAAGATACAACTTCTTTCCCCAACGTTGGCTTATTCGAGAGATAAAACAGGGCCAAAGAGCTATTGTCGACCGCTTTGCTGAACTCTCTGCTCGACGTCCCGAAAATGCGCCCCTCCCAGTCTTGTGGGATTCTTCCTGGAGTCCATCGAAACATGGGGTACCATTTGTGGCTCAATTCTTCAGACATCAGCTTGCTGAACGATCTAGTTGTTTCCCTGGGCGGCCAATGTGTAGACACATGCCGCTACAGGTTGACGGTCAGTATGCCCGAGGAATAACAGCTTACACAACCTGCTTCGGCATCAGCTGCATTGTTGTACATAGGGACGATGCACATCAGGCGGTGTCGACGCCACACAAAAGAGGGCTCCCGACAACCTTCTATTTCCGTGAAGGAGAGAAAATAGTAACGCTTGGCCTGGTGACTACCGGCCAAACTAATTTCCAATACGGTCCTTTTCTGCTGGTGAGCAGTCCTCGTTCTCCTCGATGTGATGACAGATTACTGACCCCTGGGCCCGTGATCTGATACTCCAGATCAAGACGAATCAGAATAGAATCGCCTATTTCGGACCACCATCATCGCTCTCAGAGCCATCAGCGAGATGGGTGTCCTTGATGCCAGACCAAATGAAGGGAGAATGTGTGGTTACAGGCCTGATTGTGGACCAGCTGGCAATGATGAAAGGGAGCTTCAAAACACTCGGAGTTTGCTGCAAGCCAACCGAAGTCACTGCCGACATGGACGAGACAGTGAACTCCTGGTCCGGACTGCAAGTCATTCGACTACCTCTCCCGAATGTATTGCAAAAGCCGCCTACCAAAACTGACACGGTCTTCACCAGAGCCCAGCTCTTGAACATCAAACAGCTGAGGATTCTCCACAGAGACGTTGATACCTCGGATCCCCAAAGGGGATTGCGCTGGTGTGGTCTTTGGATCCAGCACCACGACGGGACTACTGACACACTCGGCCTGTGGGATGACTTTTTGACCAAAAACGCCAGGATCATCTACGATGCCGAGACCGACGGCCGGCTCGCTCGAATCGCTTTCCAATTGAGACGCAGGTTGCCTGGGGAGGGTAAACCTGGTGGTCAATATGAATATATTGTCAATATTGCCGCCAAAGTAGTACCGCATGATTACCCCGAAATCCCCGAGGATATCGAAAACTTCCAGTACAAGGACTGCAGTGAATCGTACACGATACCCAATGGTGACAGAGTCGTCGAGTTCAAGACTTGCGCGTCGCAGCCGGTAAGTATATGCTCCCACAAGGCGACGATAGTAGAGACTGCTCTTTGTACTCTTGTGCTGACGCAGAATGTAGCCGCTCGTGTGGTACTTTACCGAGTTGGCCGATTACCTTGACGGGAGTCCTCAAGAACCAGTGAGCCACATTTTGAGGCGCCATAATGGTGTGAAGGTATTGCAGGTGGAATAGCGATGGACTGGAGCTGCATCGGCATATGTGGGTTCTTCTGGCGTTCTTGACGGTCATTGTAGCTCGAAAATTGTTTGACTCTGTTTGATGACCTACATGCATCTCTATGTTCCGGTGTTCCTTGGTTTGAGAAACTTCCAATGTCGTGAAAGTGATGGGACGTTTGTTTAAAGCGCTGCCCTAGTTGCATGATCGGAGATCGGGTTTAACTCCATACATGCTAGGGCAAGCTTAAGGTGGAAATCTCTCTTGGAATAAGCTGTGATTCTAGAGAGAAAGTGGCATAGTC